GGTACGTCTATTAATTTGATCAATAAGTATGCAAATCTAACATATAAACTCTCCGACATGTCGGCTGACTGCTAACCAAGTTGTTACAAATAATGATAAGCGTGTAACAATTAGCGATGTTACCCAAACTACGTGATGAATAATATCACATTAGGTATTTACCTGTATTTACGTTGTTGTCAAAACCATGTGATACTATTCATCACATAGTTTGAGACGTCCCAAATAGTTTCGCTAAGTAACAACCCGCTTAGCTTAGATGCTTCCTTTTTAAAGCACAAAGTTTATTAACGCTTATTCCTTTTTTATTGTGCGTCAAACTAATATTGGTCAGATTAAAATAGTTATAATGCCACTAATACCTCCCTTACCTGATGAAATCCAGTACTTAAATTTGATCCGACAATTTTAATTTACAAATGAATTATATGCTTATATTAATATATGTTGTTATTTTTGTTTGCGATCGCTATAAAGGTGTCAATTCATTTGTTCCTGAAGGAAGAGCAGAACATAATGCAATTCTTGTTGAAAAAAGATTATATTTTCATGGTGGATGGCTTGTGAATCCACCCGATTCTCGTTATCCTAATAATGTGTTATTCTTTCTTGATGTTTCAATACCTTTTACCATATCCAATAAATCCCTGATGCCCTGGACAGACCTTTCTTCAATTACAGGCGCAATAAACCGAACCGGAGCGTCAGCTTGCGTTGATATGCTTAAAGCCTCAATTTTTTTTATTGGTGGGGACTATTCTGTAAATGCTATTACAGTATTTAATACCACATTACAGCAATGGAGTATACCAAGTATTTCGGGACAGATACCTTTGCCAGGCAATTTAAAATATGTTCCTTGTATTAGCTTAGAAAATAAAATATATATTTATGGTGGTAATACATCTCTAAGTGCCATGAATCAATTAGATACTTTAAATTTATCATGGTCTATATTATCATATTCAATATCGTCCAGCAAAACTCAAGGTTATAGTGCTACATTGTTAAATGATTCAATTTTATATATTGGAGGCACAAATAAACTTCAATCACAAGGTTGGGATTGTCCAAGCAAGACATCTAATTTAATGAAAGAGGTAAGTTTTAGAATGCGTATTTATTATTAATTAAATACAAATTTAAATATTATAACTCTGTTTAAAATATATATAGTTACCACTGTACAATATAAAAAATAATACTTGGAGCAGTATTGTAAGTCATGTTTTGTTTTGTATGCGTTTATTTAAAAAATTATAAGTATTTATTTACAATACTATGTAACTTGTAGGAAACATCTGGCCAAATTCCCTTTGAGCGATGTGGTCATTCATCAGTCTTCATTTGTATGTATTAGCAATTTGTTAAAGTTAACTTTTATACCAATGATTCAATTTTTACCATATTATAATTATAGCTCAGCACAATCGGATTTTATTGTTTTATGGCCAACAAGATATTTCTGATATTTCACCTATTGCACTTGATACTTTGACATTTTCTTGGTTGATCCCTAATATTTCAAATACTGGTGGCCCTCAACTAATTTTGAGATGGCATAGTTCTACATTAATCGGTGCTTATGTTCTTATTGCATTTGGTATGTATAGTGTGTATATATTCTTTTTACAGTATATAGTCTTAAGTAAAGATATTTAGTTAGTATTAATGCAACAGTTTTGAAAAATTAATATATATTAATATCGATTTAATATTAATTGCTGGTTTATAAAAATATATTATTTTATTCTAATCTAGGATATTTGCATGTTGAAAGTATTAATTTTACTAGTCGAACCTCACCTTCTGATCTTTTTCTTCTTGATGTAAGCCGCGTTGATAATTACAGATGGGTTACGTCGTATGATCCTAATAAAACTTTTCAACCCATATCAACTCAATCATATGATCCTACTAAGCCAGCTACAACCTTAATAACGATAATTACTACAAATAATATGGGCATTGGTACAATTATTGGAATCACAATTGGAATTGTAGGACTTATATTATTAGCGATAATTGCTATTATCATTTTTAAAAATAGGTATAATCTACTTAATAATACTTCAAAGAATGAAGTTACAGACACAAACCATGAACATACAGTTGCCCCTCATTAATATCAACCCCGTTAATATCAACCTAGGCTATACAATGAACTTTTATATATTAAAATTATATTGAAATCCCTCATATATATCAACTTTAAAATGTTCCCTCATTAATATCACTATCAACATGAATATAAGAGCGATCCAAATAGGTTAATATTAATGAGGGACGACTGTATTTAATTCTTTATTATTCAAAGAACATTATTCTAGAGGCATAAAGCACTCCATGTTTGTGCATTCGCAGATTACTTATTTGTAAACCTTAAATTTTGTATAAAATATGTGTTAATTTTATAATTCCCTCATAAAATCAAATTCTAACTCCTTTCATCTGAATAATTCTCTTCATCATTGCAACCGTATAGTAAAAATTGGGTTATAACCATTGTTGGTCCCTCCGTAGTGATCCTAACCGTTAGTTAAAAAATTAACTAGTTGATAACTTTCCAACTAATCGATTTTAAAACAAATTAAAAAAAAAAGTAATCGAATAGTGATCAACTGTTTCGATTGCGATTAATTGTTAGTTGTCACCTAGTTGCAACTAACTATATATTATATTATTTATTTTTTTATTTTCGGTATAATTTTACTACAGACTGCGTCACATATTTATAGATTATATAGTTATATACACTATACAATACTATATATAATTTTAATATACTTAAAATCCCGTAAAGTGTTACGGGATCGGCTTATATTGTATTATATCAACTAAGATATCACATTTTATGGCCAACAAGATATTTCTGATATTT